ACTAAGCCTAGCTCGGTATCAGCGTTGCGCGGCTCCGAGTATAGAGAGCGGGCCTGGGACCTGCTGCGCGACCGGCGACGTGAGCGCCGCCGCTCCCGCCGGAGATCCTCCTCATACTCCTCATCGCTCAGTTCGCGCTCGATCTCGCGCTCCTTCTTGTCCTTGCGATTCTTGTAGATCTTGCTGGCGACGCCTCCGGCTAAGCCGGCCGCTGCAATTTCTGCGCCGGTTCTGAGACGAGACTTGGACCGCGATCGGCTACGGGACTTCGACTTGGACTTATCACGGAAGTGCTTCACCAAACCAGCGGCGGCGGCAGTTGCGGCGGCAGCCTTGGCGACAGAACGGCTGCGGCTCTTGCGGCTGCGGCTTCGGGATCGAGACACCGAGTAGCTAGAGACAGAGTAGCCTCTGCCACGGCTTCGGCCGCGGGTGGCCTCTTCCTTTTCAATCTTGTTGCTCTGCATGTACTTGGCGGCACCGGCTACCGCGAGAGCAGCAGCGGCGATGCCAAGACCTGTTTTGATCCTGGAGCTGCGGCTGCGTGATCTAGATCGAGATCCGTGGTGACGGTCATAGTAGTCATCCCCATAGTTTTCTTCGTACGCGCTGCGCGCACGCCGGATGATCTCAGTGCCCAGACCTCCGAGCGCGGCACCAGCGAGCACTTTGCTTCCGCGATTGACGGGGAGCTCACCGTGGCTGTCTCTACGGCTTGCAGCGAGAGCAGCAATACCAGCTCCAGCAAGGGCACCCTCGGCAAGGTGGCGCTTGTGGTGGTGGTCGGAACTGTTGCTTCTCTCGCGTCGAATGATGGTTTTCTTGTAGTGGTAGTCTTCCTCATCACTGGCGTAGCCACGTCCCCGGCGGTCATAGTAGTACTCGCGATCGTCCCGGTGGCGGCCGACAGTCTTGGTCTCACGGCGGTAATAGTACTCATCCTCTCGGGGGTCACGGCGGACCATTGGTTGTTCGCGCTCTCTCAAGACGACGATATTGGGTTCTTGGCGGGGAAGAACAATAGGAGCTGGCGGAGGAGCCTCCTGGACAATGATCTGCTGGGGCTCAGGAGCCTTCTGTCGAATGATGACGGGCTGGGGGATGGGCGGGGGGCTGACGGGGGAGTAATATTCGGTCTCCTTACGGTACTTTTCGACCTCTGCGCCGCCATGATCGTCTCGGTACTCCTCGATACGCTTCTCAACCTGAACATCGCCATCCTCACGACGCTCTACGCGCTTATCCACGACGACTTCGGTGTCGCCATGGTGATGGTGGTGGTGGTGGTGGTGATCCCACGGGCGGTTAGAGCGACGGTCCCAATCGCGATCACGCTCAACTTCGATGACGCTGCGGTTGTCGTCGAAGCGGCGCTCCCGCTCGTAGTCCTTCTCGTAGATGACGCTGCGAGAGTCGGTTCTGTAGGGATCGACCTCGCGCTCGCGCTCAATAACTTGACGTTCGACAACCTGGCTCCGGGAATCAAAGGCAGAGCGGGGGCGCTCGGCGTAGGGAAATTCGCCGGAAGTACGCAGAGGAGGGGGATAGTTGGAATATCGTGATCGGCGATCGTCGTCGTCAAGCTCTACACGCTCGCGTTCGATCCTCTCAAGGGTTTCAACACGGCTAGGGGCGACTTTGTAACGGCGGACAGTTGTTCTCTTCTTGTATCCGCCTTCATCGGATGAAGTTGAGTCGGCTCGGTCCCGGTAGACGCGGGTCGACTCTCTATAAACTCCAGCCATCGCTAAATGCGATGCGATGGACGAGAAATCGGAAGCTAGCAACGGTGGTTTCGGAAGACGGCAGGCGAGATTTAACGGCGAAACGGTTCGCTATGGGCGGTTGCAGGCGTGGTTGAACAAAGAATGTACGATGATGACGGAGGGGGTTGATGGGCTAGGTGATGTACATATGTAGTCGTGGCTCGCTGCTCGGTAGGCTCTTTAGTTGGAGCAGGGTACGTAGCCGATCAATTTAATGGGATGGCTGGTGGGACACCAACGTTTCCGGTTGGGTGAGTGCAAGCTGTCTGAACAAACAGTCGGCAGCTTTTGGGTGTGTGTGCGGTTCTGGATGGAAATGGAGGGAAGTGCCCGGGAGAAGGAGAAAGAAACGATGATGGATGGTGTTCAAGAGCGAGAAAGAGGAGGGGGAGGGGGGAGGGAAGAGGGACGGACGGAAGCGAAGCGAAGAAGTGGAGGGAGGGGCAGAACACCAGGCGCAGCAGCGTGATGCCGGTCGAGTTGGGCTGAGAAGGTGGACCTTGGACCTGGACCTGGACCTGGACTGCCCACGGCCTCCCGTCCAGCGTCCAGCGGGCGGCCCCTCCTTTTAGGGCCCTCCAGTGCTCGCTCTGCTCCCCCTCCACGAGTCCATCCCATCTCCACGTCCAGGACACACTGCAGTAGGAAGGTCCTCGGTGACGGGAACACCTACCTACCTCACACTCACTCACTCACTCACTCATGGACTCGGCTGTCTGAGGCACCCAAAGGAAGGCCCGGACCAGGGCTTCAAACACCAGGCCGGTGCCCTCCTTCCTTCCCTTCCTCCCATCCCGCCTGTTCTCGCCGTCCGGCCAAGGTTTGCCCGTGGTCGATACGACTAAGAGGCTGCATCTGGAAGGGTATTCCATGTCGCTGCTGCTCCAACCACCCGCAACCCATGTTCAACCGTGTTCTAGCTGGGCTATTTCCATCCACCCTTCACCCAACTCCAAACACTCACCTCTTTTCTTGGTTCGCTCCGGCCTTTCTTTGCCAGCCAAAGTCGCATTTCTGCACTATTGCGTCGACTCCTTGCTTCAACAGACACGCTATTAACAGTACCTGCCCATGGCCTTCTAGCTCACGTAGGCTGCCTAGCCTGGCTGCTGACCGTCATTTATCATCTCCCCCCGACAGCCTCGACGGAGAGTCGAATGCTCACGAAGCAAAACCGTTACGTCATTTGTACTGACCAACCCGAATCCACCTTGGGAAGAAAAAGCACCCAACGCTAGTCCATGTCGTCCAACTGCCATCACCGAAACTGACCACGGGCGAGACATGCAAATAATACCTCTCTCGCCCGTCCGTCAGCAACCTTCCCCAACAAAAAAGAACAGCAGCATCCCCGGCATCGAAAATCACGGCCAAGGCAGCCTTGTGACCAGGCAGATTTACTGCGGCACGCCATCCGATGCTGAGAGGGTGGGCGGTCCAGGGCAGTGACAGGCCGTGACACCCCGACCGGCCTTGTCATCCGCCCCCATCCCTGTCGCTCATGACAGCTGGTCAGAGTCTCAGAGAATCACCCCGCCATTGTGCTCGAGAGGCTCGCGACTCAGTACTTCTTCAAACCGACCGAGTCGAGTCTTGGCTCCATTCCTGGATCTTATTCTGGCGGCTTAGGCCTGTGCTTATTTCTTCTGGAAGAGGCCAAGCTAGCGATTTGACAGTTCAGACGGCTCCCGCGGCGGCACGCTTCAGAGATGCATCGCACTGTTTGAACCCCGGGAAGATGCGCCCCGCTCCGTCGCAGCTTGGTGTCGTCATGGTACAGAGGGGCACTCGCAGATGCGCCCAATGAAACCGCCCGCCTGCATGTCCAGATTCCGCCGCTGGAACCCCTCGGGAAGCGCGAAGAATACAGCTCCACCAAACCACCTGCTGCGGCTGCTGCGCTGTCCTCTGTCCTCGTGGTCCACGGCGAAGACACAGTTGCAGAGATGCAGATGGAAGGCCATTCGAACTTACGTCCGACTTCAGAGTCATCGCATGTTGGGATGCGCCCTGTTCGTGTCGGCCACGACAGCCGCAGCCAACTTCCAACTTGCTCTGCGCGCTGGGTGGTTCTGGTTCCCCGAGATCTGCCAGGAATTCCTCTCTTAATTGCCTGCATTAAGGGCGGCTTTTCAAGGTTTGCTTACCATTCAGAAGAAGCGGCAACAACGCGTTGCCCACCCGTCTGGTTTTCCTGCACTGCATGCAGCATTTAGTACAGCCGGCACTTACCTGCGACCTGCAGCCTGGCCATCGTTGTCTGATTCGCCAGTCACTGTTCTTGCTTCCAGAGATCCCGAGGCCTCACTGAGGCTGTGAGGCTCCAGCTGCCTGCGTCCGGTCTACATCGTGGCTTGAGACTCTGGTATTTGTTTCGCTCGACATCGTTTCGATAGGCGGATGCTCATACTGCGGCGAGCCTTCACTTGCTCAGGTCGTTTTTTTTTTTTTGCCTCGAAAGCCTTGGCGTGCCGATGATTTAGTTCTACCGCCCGATTTCGATCATATTTCCTGTGATTTTTGTCATCGTCTCCCAGACAGGAATGATGATACGCCGGACTCACAACAGTTTCATAAGCTTTTGGAAACCACATGTTAGAGGCCATGTTGTCTCAGAAAAACACTCGGTTTGCTTTTCAATGAAATACCGCTTTTGGCATGCTTAAACGGGGTTCGCTCAGCTGCACAACATTCTCGTCTGCCCAATTCTGAAGTCACATGCGGTCATCTCCCAAAATCACCCAGAAGTTCGACAACCGACCTACTTGAAGCTCAATACACTGGTACATTACTTGATGGGGAATCCAATGAGATTTCTGCACTGAAAGATCTTGATGCCAGATCATAGCACAGCCCTTAAATCCTCTGTCGGTTCTCTGTAGTTCAAGCAGACCAGGTGTGAATATGATCCATCACATAAAGGTAAGAGTACGGACAGTGGGCGCTCGTATCGGAGCCTCATGTGGGCCTTCAGCCTCGATGATGCCAGCTCAGAAAGTTCTACTTACCATTGGTATTGAGTGCCCTCTGTATTTCACATTATAAGTGGGCGGACAACAATATGATTGGAGTATCATAGCTCAACTCCTGCGCAGAATTTCCGCCCTCGGCGCTTCTTTTTCGCATAATAAGCAGTCGGGCTTTTATGTCTTTAGCCCAACCCAAATCTCAGATCGGCTTCAACCGATTTTCTGCTCGATATCCTTACGGCCAGCCACAGATACTGATACCAAGATGCGACTTGTCAACGCTAGGTCCCTCCAGCTCGAAGAGTTCTTTGGTGAAGGAATTCCAAAGTATGCAATCCTTTCACACACTTGGACAGAGGGGCAAGAAGTCACGTTTCAGGAGTTCTCGGCCCAGAAAGCTCGCAACAAGTCAGGATGGACCAAAATAGAGAGGACTACACAGTTGGCTCTCGAGGACAAGCTTCATCATGTATGGATCGACACGTGCTGCATCGATAAGACTAGCAGTGCTGAGCTTACCGAAGCTATCAATTCCATGATGAGCTGGTACGAGCGATCTCAAGTATGCTACACATACTTGGAGGATGTTCCATCTGGTCTTGGGGTAGACGCGCGGGAAAACGTATTTCGCAACAGCCGGTGGTTCACTCGAGGGTGGACCCTACAGGAGCTTCTCGCACCGTCAAAACTCGCCTTCATATTCTCCGATTGGACGCGGTTTGCTACCCGGAATCAGATGGCCAACCTGGTCAGCAGCATCTCTGGCATTGAGGCATCATTTCTACGCACGCCCGAAGGGCAGAAGAACAACAAGAACTTTCCGGCAACCGATACGTCTACGGCAATACGTGTGTCTCGGAGAACAAGTCTCTACTCAGCAAGCATCGCACAAAGAATGAGTTGGGCCTCGAATAGACGAACGACCCGTGTGGAAGACATTGCCTATTGCCTTCTGGGCATATTCGACATCAATATGCCACTGCTCTACGGTGAAGGGTCCAAAGCATTCCTGCGCCTCCAGGAGCAGATTTTGATGAGTTCAGATGACCAGTATATATTGGCCTGGAACTTTGAGGGGCTCAAAACAGAACAGTCTGGCGCTGATGGTGAAGACTGGTTTTCGGACTATTACCTCGGTAATCCAGAATTTGCTGGCCTTGTCGCCACCTCTCCTTCTGTCTTCTCGACTTGCCAAAGCATTGAACGCATCAATATTGGCAAACCGACGCTTCACTCGCTCATAACGAATAAAGGACTGAGGTTAGAACTCGCAATCGGACCCTCCGAAGCGTATCCGCGTGCTTTCCTGCAATGTCAAGACAAATGCGCCCCCGCCAGCGTCGTAGCATTGTCGCTGATGCTGACAGACGAAGGATTTTACGTACGGGCCAGACTTCCACTGGTACTCGTAGACTATCAGCTTCTGCTGAAGTTTCGGCCCACAGAACTTTACGCTCTGGAATACGGCGAATACGCTATGCGGCGGGAAACGGGCAGGGACTACACCATCATGATACGAAATCTACCAGAGGACATCAAAATCCTGCATGCGTGGGGTGAAAATGGCAACATGGAACGTGATTCAGAAATCATTCTACAGAGCGACGGCCGGGATGACAAATTGACAGGAGGCGCTCTACTGCTGGGTGATCAAATCTCTGTCAAATCAAGGTTGATTCTTGTTGTCGTATCGCAAAGACAATCAGCCAAAAGTTACGATTGGCCTTGCCCTTTGGAAATGTCTGGTCTCATCGACCTTGACAGGCTAGAGGATCAATGGCCGGGCATATGGGATTCCACCCGTCCACTCAAGTCTGAAAATCTGTCAAGAATTTTGGAAGAAGCGAAAAGAACTCATTTCGACCAATGGCCAGATTGTGGAATAATGCCGACCATCTACACAGCATACGGCGTTTTCTCCACACGCGTTGATGTTCAGGATTGCTTTGGAAAACCTGTTATCTTCGTCGACGTAAGCCTTAAACTAAGGCAGCATGTTGACATCCGAAGCCTCCCGAGGCAGCTTCCATGGTGGCTTCGATACTACATGCGAGGGCACAGTGGTGTCAACAGGGTCATGCTTCTGCTTGTCCTTGCCCCACGCGTCTGTACCATTGTGATCGAACTTTTGGCGCGAAAGGCCGCTAAGATTTTCAAAGCTACAGCCTATCCTTGGTATATGGTCCCCCTCATGACGGATTACGTGTTCCTCCCTGCTGGCGATCCTCCTCTATTTCTGGCTTCAACGCTAGCAACAGCGCGCAAGGAGACGTTGCAGACTCTCAAACGCAGGGCAGCCATCAGCTTACTTGCCTACCTCAGCTGCAAGCTCATCGGGTCAGATACAGTGCTGGAAAGATTCAAGAAATTTCTTGCGAGTAAGAAGTAGCAAGCATTAGAATCCTGTATGTGGAAAAAGTGCGGACACCATAGTACAAATAGCTATAAACTGATGATGGCCCGGGGACGACAGTGGAAAACACCATCAAAATCTTGTATTGTGATTCAGCACTGATTGCGCCGGCATCGCCAGATTTGTTGTTGTAGGACAGTTTACCCTCTGCCTCGTGCCCACTGGCTTTTAAGAAACCAACACAGTGAGAATACCTCAATGCTGCTGACAAGACTTTTTCCATCATTACTGCTTTTTATCGTTAGGCATTCTGTTCACACCGGATGATAGAAACCAGATATTCAAAAGGACCACAACTTAGATGTTTGCCTCGTCAAAGCAAATCACGAGAGAGGGTGATGTTTGTGATCTGTGACGAGCTTTCCAGCCGTCCTTCGAGGTTATCGCCATCCGTAGCATTGCACCTCGAGGCCCAGTATGCTGTGGAAGTTGCCAAGTTGTTTACAAGCGGCAATGAGTCCTCTGCAGCCTTGGTCACCGCAGATCTGATGGGAATAATACAAAGACAGAAGGGCGTGACTACGACATGGTGACAAAAGCCCATGACATACATAAGTACATGATGAGATGGCGAGAAGGCGCTGTGTGGGAATCCAGCCTTCAGTGCCACATAACAGATTACTGACACGCACAAAACATTTGCTCTGAGGATCTGCGGGGCAAAAGAGAGAAAAACATTATTGCCAAAAGCAGCCATTATTAAAGCTAGAAGACGGAGACACCACAAGCATTCCGTCACTTCGCAAGAAGCCACAAGGTAATCGGCATACGCAAATAGCAAAATCCACAAAATACCTTGCGTGCGCGCAATTGTCACTACAATTCATCAAAGCAAAAACAGCAAAAAGCAAAAGAGAGACTCCTCGACGGGGAATTGAACCCCGGTCCCCGGCGAATCGTGTGAATGACAAGCCGATATCCTCACCACTAGACTATCGAGGATAGTGGATCGCATTCTGCGTTGACGATTGGCACGGATTGAGGGCTCATGCAGGACCCGCATGTTGTTGTGGAGACCTTGACGGCCGAGCGCCGCGTGTAAGTGCGGATTAGCCAACCTCAATCGTCAACACAAGCTGCGCATAGCGTGCCAGTTGTTCGCCAGGAATTCAGCTTAATTAGGCCAGAAGACTTTAAAACAGTAATCTTCGTGAAGTTCACTGTTTTTAGACTCTTGAGAATATGCATTTGAAGCTCCGCTTTGTGAACTTCGTGTTTCTCAGCTGTCTTCGTGGCTTAAGCGGTGCTCCATAACAAGCTGCTGGACACTGAGGAGCAGCAAAATCCGGCACTTACGACTACCGTCTGAATTTTGAAGTCTTCCCATCTAGAGAGAATAGCAAGGGCGGGCAACGTCTCTACACTTGGCTCTCTCGGGTCTTCATCTATTCATCCTTGGTGAGCGTCGGAGGGCACGTCATGCTTTTTTTCATTCGGCGACTAAGCCCAGTGCAGCCATCCAACAGAAGTCTGTGTAAATTGAAGTAGTCAGTTCTTCTGAGATGAGACCCCCACTCACAATTGGATCAAATTTCTCGCAGAGTGGTACGTATATATTCAGTAGAGAGCAATCCACGCGAAGAAAACTATCATCTTGCTCAGTCATTAGGAGGATATGGTCCCTTAAACGGAAGTAAGTGATATCTGTCTTCCTTCAGTTCTGTCATGTTATTCATATTACATGTGATCAATCATGATGGCGACCGATGTCGCATCTCCAAGTGAAGGCCTGAAGTGCCTTCTGAAGAAGCAGTCAGCGGCGTGTGCTGTCAGCTTGAGTCCCTCAGAAAAGTACGATGAACGCTGCATTTATGACGTCTTGCAACCATAGTCCTACCCATGGCTTGATGATGAAACTTCCGGGCCGATATGAACTTATTCTCCGGCAATAAACAGGGAGAAACAGGAGTGCATGACTCCAACACGGAGCAAAACTGCAGCCGCTAAGCAACAGGCAGAGGGTGACGATCAACGAAAAGGAGATTCACTGGATTAAACACGACGCCAACTATTAAGCTGACGGTGAAGATGCGATTTCAAAATTCAGAGGATTGGCTCATTGTTGCCTAGCTTCTCCACCTCCGCTGAATCAACTGCTTTATAGTGCCGTGTAAGAGCTCCAGTACGATAGCGGCAACGTTTTCGGCTACCTCTGATGAATTCAGCTTAATGCGGTCTTCTAGTCACCAGGCATATAGACTTACGAAGTCAAATATACGGTTACTGGAAACCCCATCCTCGCATTCTCTGTTTTCCCCTACCATTGGAAATAGGTCGGCAGTTTTCCGACGCAGAATCGGTTCAGTGAAGACTCATAAATTGATCTAGCGAGGTGGAGGTGTCTTGTTCATCACAGCAATAACTGCCCGGATCGACCGAATTGCTTTTCAGGTGCAGTTCAATAGAAGGATGGTGAATTCACGATGACGATGCTCCATGAAGTATTCCTACACATGTTGTCGACTCTTGACCGATTTGATCTAGGCCTGCATCTGGTCTTCATCGTCGCTCATCTCGGGTCGTTGTTTGTTGTTACCGTGTTCAGAGTTGTATTCTAACGATGTCGCGTCAATATCAGTAGGTCGACACTTGCGTGGTCGGTCTTCGGGTACACCTGAGACACAAGTTCACTGCACATTAGGCAGGACCGCTTGAGTCTATTAATCACAGAACCGCGCAATGGACCATTACATTTGCTTCTGGGACGAAAACCAGAACGCCTAGGCCATCGCTTCTTAAATATGCGTCACTGCGGGAGAAATCCTCATATGAATCGTCAGAAACAAGAAAACCACCGCCAAGTCTCTTCTTGAGTCGTGAAAAACACAGTCAAGTCTCGATATATGACTACGTTTTCCTCAGCGACGAGAAATACACAGTTCGTAAGAGAACATTGAGCGAGATTTGTGGTTTCAAATATGCTTGGATTCTTTCTGGGCGCAAACTTGAACCTCGATAAGACGCTAGGACTCATCCAAGATTCAACACGCGTGGGAGTATCTACGCGGTTTCAGACCTCTACCACCACAGTGTTGTTTCATCCATAACCTATGATTCAGCCAAGCATCCGCAGAATTACATTGGTGGCTCAAAAACATCTATAAACTTCTTTCACAAACTGATCACTTATAGGTGACAACGACTAATGGACCTTACCAAGTTGATGCGACCTTGTTAAGCCGCCTGAGAGTAGACGGTTGCCCGTACCAGCCGCCGGATTAGGCCTACAGGATAGAAGCAAGAGCCGCAAACGAAGCTACCCAGCTTTGACCCAGGTTGAGACTCTGCCTTCCTGGAGAATGTATGTCTCTTCCATCGAACGAAGGGTCCCGGCGCACGCACAGGCAGTGGTGCATACGATTGTCTTAGACTGCAACCGTTACGAAAGCAATCCTGAATCCCACACATCTGGGCAACCCGGCAAAAACCCTTCCCAAGTTCTGGCGCAAGATACAGCATGTATGGGCGGTGTTTCTGGGTGCTCCAATTTTGAAGTCGGTACAGCGTCAAAAAGGTTCCAGATGCTGTGCTGCCAAGCCCACAGCCTTTCTCGCGCTCCTCTTTAGAATCATCATGAGAAAACACTAGCTTCAGGTGGACCGCAGAATTCGGCAGTTTCATGTTAAAGTCGTTGACAAGCATTGGTATGCTTGTTATGCTTAGCCTACGATGAGCGATATACGTCGACCCCCTGGCCTGGGTAGGTTCGGTGTGGTTGATGCAGACCCCCGAGATACATGTCAGGCAGGGGACCACCCACATACCGAAACAGTCAGAATCTACGACGGTGGTGATTCATGATTTATTTGTTGGCCATGTCTTGATGACTCTTACTAAGGTGTTGTGGGTGGCTACGGAGAGAAATTTCTCTCTGTGGCTACACTTGTGGCTGTTTGACAGCAGGTCAGGCTGTGTATCTGTTACGTTGTCGAGAGGGTCTCCAGTGTTCAACGTAGATTGGAACTATCTTGAACAGTAAACCGTTGACATTGATCTGCAATGCTCTGTAGAAGAATGGCAGTGCTAGCTGCAGCAATAGCGAAGCAGAGCTAGGACGACGGTGAGACCGACGAAAACGGAGACGACGGCAACGATGGGGACAGCGGAGGCAGCAGGGGCAGCAAGGAAACCGAAGGTAACAAGGAAGGCGAGGGTAGCAAGGAAGTCGGCGACACTTGACTCAAGCGGAAGAAAGTGGCTGACACTGAATAAGAAATAACGCACCAGAATTGCTCATCCCAGATGTAAGAACTCCTCATGAGATGAGCCATTTCAAGAACCTGTGGCTTGTATCAGTTCGAACACCAAGCGGCATCGCAGTTCTTCAGTGCCGGCCATGTATAATGATGATCACGACATCAACCCTCCAACATGACGTATCTGGTGGGACGGGAAGGGCAGGAGCGATGTAGGAGACGCAGGCTGTGTAGGTAAACCCCGGAAAACCCCTCACACGAAGAAAAAAACTGTTCCAGACCGGATCGTCGGAGGGCGCAGCGGCGACCCCAGCTCTTAGTTTATGCTCTATCAATAAACTACCCGAGCGTTGGCAGCAGGGCGGGACACTTTCCAGCCAGAGGATGGGAGCGTCCTCAAATCAAAGTGTGGCTTTCCTGAAGGGCTGACTGATGGCTCCAAGGGCGTCTTGAGGGGGGCGTTCGTTCGGTCCCGCGGTCTGGACGAATCTCCCGTGCTGCTAAATCTGACGGTGGCGGTCGCATGACGTTTGGGCTAGGCGCCGCCGTCTCGTTTCCACAAACGGGCTGGAACTAAACGGCTTGTGATGGATGATGGAGGTGAAGGAAGGAGATTTGGTGCCTTCGAGGCGGTGCTGGCTCTCCCGTTGCACCACGAGCCCAGCCAACGCCATGGGACCCTGCAGCTTGCAGTCCGCTAACACTGTTGCCATCAGGGTATTTGCAGGTTCAGATGAAGCAGATTTTGTCTGAAGGTCCAGTGTAGTTCATCCAAGCTATTGGGCAGATATGGGCGGGGGAGTGATTCCTGAGTCCTGAGCACTAGCGCGGGCGATCGAGGGGCGGCGACAGCAAGATGTAACCCTGTGTCGGCGGCAGCGGGCTGTCTTCAGGAGTGACATGAGAGAACATGCAGTTTTGGTTCGACTGGCACTCTAAAGCCAATAACCTCAGATGAGAAGCAATAGTGAAAGAGACCCATCGGCGCTTCGGTATGCATGCATTTTGGGGAGTTCGACGAGTTGCCAGGTTGCCGACGCGCAATGCAGCCGGATCGGGACAGATCCCAGGGTGAGAGGCGGCTCCACGGATGGGTACTCGCCAAGAGCCCGGCAGAAGTCGTATCCCCAGGAAGAAGAAGAAAGAAAACTTCAGGTGTTCACCATGAGAAGTCGACGTGATGGAGCGCCAAGAGAAGGGATTCGTAGTCCACGCCCTCTCGCGGAGGCCGAGAAGAGTCTATACCGTTGGTGAGTTACATACCTCTTCGGGGATGATGCTACAAGAGCAGTCTCATCCAAATGCTTGATGGCCCCTTCCGCAATTTTAAACAATCAATTGTTTAGACAAGGGAAGACCGTCGAAACCGAGGGGTGCTGGTGGTGGTGGTGGGTGGTGGATCGGGGTGCTGCTGCGATCTCCCGCATGGGTCGCACAAGCCAGACCTTATTCACTGACGTGTCGCGGATCATAGCAACATCGTGCTGATCATAAGAGAGCTGGGCTGGGAGGGCAGAAAGTTCGTCTGGCTGCCCGCGCGGTCGATGAGCCAAGTTTCGGCGTGAGGGGGTTCATGGGAGAGGTTGCAATGGATAATCTCCGCGAACATATGCCGCAAAACAACAAACCATGCCCATAAGACACCAGAGAGAGGGAGGCTCGAGAGCAGGTTATTGAATGCGACTCTTGGATATGACCTCGCCCCGGCGGGACGACTATGCTATTCCTCAGGATCGGTGTTATGACAATCGGAGAAATCACGAAGGGAAGGGAAGGACTGGGTGGCGTGCAGTCCACAGTCGTCCCAAGTCTGCACGAAAGACGACTCCTGCAATTAGCCTTTGTGAAACCGGTGCAGGGGTTCAGGGACCAGGGCGTCGGACGACATGACATCAGATGGAAGAATCGGACGGCCGTGGAAGGACTGGAGCAGCCTTCGTCGACCGGCCGAGAAAAACCGCGGCCTGGATTCAGGAGAAGGGGGGAGGAGCGTCAACACGTGATCTGGGGTTGTTCGGTGAAAAAATCGAGGGACGGGGATCGCAAGGTGGTTCGGGGTGGATGTCGACCAAGCAAGAGACAAGGGGCCTGGGCCAGTTCGCCGTGTTCGCTGGAACGCTGCAGGCGAGAAGCCACAAAAAGGGGAGTTGGGACGAGGCTGAGTTTCCCCTTTGGAAGATCAGCTGAAACAGGAACAGCCGGGTCAAGGGGGCGAACCATGTTTGGGATGAAGAGAAAGCAGCTGCGACAGGCAAGAAGGGCAAGAAGGCCGCTGCCATCTTCAAACTCGCCAAGTGGGTCTCTGGCGGGCATTAGATAATCAAGACTGCAGAGCGGACCTCACTAGCTCCCTGCAAAGTGTCTCCCGATTGGCTGTAATTCTCCGAGTGATCCTCACTGATCTCGAAAATCATGCGCATCCCCGACCGGCACCATCCCGACGTCAGTCGGTTCCTGAACCATCGAACCCCCTTCTTCTGGGCACTCAAAGTGAACCTCACCTCCTCCACCCCGCTGCCCCTGAGCCTCCATTCGACATCTCCTGCTGCCAGGCCGCCTCCTTGGACTGCTATGCGCATGCCCGCAGAGCTTTCTTTCAAGCTCGATGCTATTGGATCACAACATCAGACGCTGAACCGCTTCCCCTGGCCAAAGAAGTCTTTGCTCGGGTTCTCCTTCCCTGATCCCATGTTTGCTTTTCCAGCAAGCCCACATTTCGCCACCGTTTCTCCCGACCAAACGAGGTCTCTGCCTGCCTTGTTCGGACTGTTGAATTAGTCTCTTTGGGGTGGAGTTTCTACAGACACGGCTCGGAGAAAAAAAGGGAGGAGAAAGGGACGGCATGAGAGAGAGCGGTTGACGGTCGTCGATCTTTACGGGAACGCTACGGGACGATCATTTGCAAAGTTGCAAATGCCAACCGTGCATGCAGTCAACACGATCGAAGTCGCCGTCGTTGTGGTTTCGATTCAACATTTGGATCTACAGTCACCGTTGCATTCTGCACGGCATCTCATCACCGTCCCATAAACTCACTTATTGAGCTCCGCTCCAACACCACCGCAACTGCAGAGGAGACGCGCATTCTGCTAAGTCTGATATAGGCCCTGCCATTCGGCCTGACTATGCCTTTTACGCACCCTCTCCGCCGAGGAACCCACAGACATTGAGGCACATCCCCGCTCATCCTTGGACCTCCTCCGTCGACCCCCGTCATTCCAGCCACCACCGCCTTCAGCCTTCACATCGACTGTTCGGGAAACACTCATGTACGCCAAACCACCAGCCTGCTCTACCAATCCCTCAATCGATCCTGCCAGGGCAAAAACTCCGTTCGCGCCCCCAGTCTCGCGCCTCCACTCCCCTCCACCAGCCCTCTCTTGGAATCGTAAACACCAGACGACGATAAGCTCATCCCCCTACCCCGGCCCCGCCGCCTGCCCGCTCTCTGCCCGAACGTCTCACGATGGCTAACCCAAAGCGATGGTTGACCCGTCCTACAGCTAGCTAGCAGGCCAGCAGACTTGGGTCAGGAGGGATGCCCGATCCATCGAAGGGTCGACGGCCCTTGACATGGGAGAGCCTTCTCCGGCTGGACTGGGAGCCGTATGCTTTTAAAGATGGTCGTCCTTCCCGTTTCTCGAGAAGGTTTCTTTCTTGCCTCAGCAGCCTCAGCTCTCCATCATTTGGTACATTCTTGCCAGTTCTTTCTTTTCCCGTTCAGTTTTTTGAACTTTGTCATTCTCTTCCAGGTGCTAGTCGCCCATCAAACCCTTGAAGGGCCCTTGCTTCAGTCCATTCCTTCCCAACAAACCGATCCAACTTTCAAACACTTAGCAAACCGCTCTTCTTCGACTTCTCACGATCATTCGCCATGTTGCTCAAATCCGCCGTCCTCGTCTGCCTGTTGGCAGAGCTTGGCCTTGCCAAGCAGAAGCGTCAAGCTGAGCCGTCGCCGATCCTCAGCAGCATCAGCATCCCGCCGCGCATCTCGACCGGCACCGGTGATGCGGTCTCCTCCGCTGCGCCCACCGGCATCTTCCTCAACACTTCGGCCCCGGCGGTCCCTGCCGTCACGACCCTCACCGAGGTCGCCACCGTCACTTCCACGAACGACAACAACGTCACCGTCACCGATGTTATCACAACCGAACGCACCGTCACAGCCAGCCCTGTGACCATCATTGAGCAGCCCAAGATCATCATCATCTCCCAGCAAACCTTCTTCAACTTCATCTCTGGTCTCGGTGGCGCTCCTCCTGCTGTTCAGCAAGGTGAGCAGGGCGGTTTCCAGGTCGGAGGCCAGCAGTTCGGTCAGTTCCAGTCTGCTTGCAAGGCCGCTTGCAACATGCAGTTCACCCAGTGCCAGAGCGTCGCCGGACAGAACTTCGCCGTTACCCAGTGCCAGACCCAGCTTATTGCTTGCAACAACGCCGCCAATGAGCAGACGACTGTCACTGTTTCCGTCCCTGTCACCCTGACCCAGACCGTTGTCGTTCCTCCCTCCGGCACTGTTCCTCCCGTTGATGGTGGCTCCGTTATCGCGACTACCACTCTGCCTCCTGATGCTGGCGCCACTGTCGGTACCGGCGGTGTCACCTTCGTCTCCTTGACTGCCGCTCCCTCTCAGACTGCCGCCGTCCCCGAGACCACTGCCGCCGTTGAGACCACTGCCATCGAAACGACCGTTCCTGATGCCACTGGAGGCCAAGTCGTCTCCACCATTTTCGTCACTCGCTCTGCTGGTGGTGTTCCCCCCTCTGGCCCTGAGGGTACCGCTGTCAGCTCCGCCGACGCCGTCGCTAGCTCCGTTGCTCTCACCACCTCTGCTGTCGTTACCACCGTCCCCGACGCCACCGGCGGCCAGGTTGTCTCTACGATTTTCGTCACTCGCTCTGCTGAGGTACCTGCTGCTTCTGAGGCTGTTGGCTCTGCCTCCGAGGCTGTCGGTTCCCTCACGACCTCTGCCGTCGTTACTACTGTTCCTGACGCCACTGGAGGCCAGATCGTTTCCACCATCTATGTCACTCGCTCTGCTGGCGGACCCGCTCCTTCCAACGAGCCCCAGCCTCCCGTCTCCGACCAGGGCTCTGTCGTTACCTCTGCCGTGGTCAGCACTCTTCCCGCCGTTACCCCTGGAGGCGAGCCCGTTGTGAGCACCATCTTCGTCACTCGCTCTGCTGGTGGCCCTCCTTCTGCCCCCGAGGGTACCGCCGTTAGCTCTGCCGATGCTGTGGCCAGCTCTGCTGTTGTTACCACCTCTGCTGTCGTTACCACTGTTCCCGATGCCACTGGCGGACAGATTGTGTCGACTGTGTACATCACTAAGACTATCGAGGGTGGCGCCGCTTCTGAGGCTGTCGGCTCCGCCGCCACCTCTGCCGTCGTCTCTACTCTCCCGGCCGAGAGCGGACAGCCCCCTAAGGTCACTACGATCTTCGTTACCGGCCAGCCTCCCGCTCCCACCAACGAGCCCGGCGTCTCTGACCAAGGTTCCGTCGTTACCTCCGCCGTCGTCTCTACTCTTCCCGCCATCACCCCTGGAGGAGAGCCCGTGGTTTCTACTGTTTACGTCACCGCCACTGTTCCCGCCGCCGCTCCCTCTGCCCCCGCCGCCTCCGAGCCGGTTACATCTGTCATCTCCATGACCCTCGCTCCTCCCTCGGGCTCTCCCGTCGTGTCTCTGGTCACCATCACCCTCCAGCCGACTGCAGGCCCCTCCGGCACCGCCCCGGTCACCTCCGCCGTCGTCTCTACTCTCCCCGCTGAGAGCGGCCTGCCTCCTAAGGTCACCACGGTGTACGTGACCGCCCCCGCTCCCACTGCTCCTCCCGCTGGCCAAGTCTCTGTCATCACCGTGACCCTCGGAGACAAGACTGGTGTCGTGACCATCAGCCCCTCCCAGACTGGTGCCATTGCGACCACCATCGCGTCCGCTCTCCCCAGCGCTGGCGCCGGCTCTGGTGGCTCCGGCTCCGGCTCTGGCGGTTCTGGTTCTGGCTCCGGCGGCTCCGGCTCCGGTTCCGGCGGCTCTGGCTCCGGCAACGGCGGTAGCGTCGGCGATGAGGGCAGCTGCCCGTCCGCGGTCACGGTGACAGTGACCGCGTCCAGCTGCCCCACCGCCGTCACCTCCGTCCTCACCGCGACCGTCTCCGTCGTCCCCACCGAGGCCCCCGCCGCCAAGAAGCGCTCCTCCGAGGAGAAGCGCGAAGCCGCCGTGGCCCACCACCAGCGCCGCCACGGCCGCGCCTTTGGCTTCTTCTAAGCCATGCGCTGCTTCTGACTGACCGAGGGTACTGTTTTGTCCCCGGTCATTCCCACGCATACATTGAAAAGATAGACCGCATGATTTCATGAGACCAAAAAACGAAAGTCGAGCTGGATCTGCGGGAGGCGTCTCCCGTTGCAAGGCCACCGACGAAAAACAGGGGTTGTGTTCCGCGTTGTCACTTTCGACATCGGCCTGGCGCTGAAGTCTGCTGTCATCACAAGGGGGTTTTGTTCAAGGGATCTGGTTTTTTTTTTGGTTGTTGGGATGGTTCTTTTTTTTCTTCTGCAGAATTTCGATGTATGTACTTCTCGGTGCTCAGTTACATAGACTTGTTCAAACATCAGCTTTCTTGGTTCTTCCACATGCACTGGCCCTCAGACTACCACCAACTGTGAAGAGTCGTCGTAGGTGAGTAAGGTGAGTACGTTGTTGTGCCCACGCGGGCCCTCTCGGATATGTATGTCATCGGTAGCGGCTCGTGGGTCGCTCATCCCCTGGGCGATCTAACTCTAGCTCAAGCAGGTCGACGTGTCCATTACGAAGACCATCCAAGAGCTTACTGGGGCTAGCTGGATGCAAAGCAAATGCCTGTGGTGGCGCTGGATTAGGCGTCGGATAGAACGGGGGGGGGGGGGGGGGGGGGGGGGATAGGACTCGACGACCTACGCGCAAGAGAACATATAAAAAGGGGGTATGTGTGATGTTTGCGAAGTAGTTGAGATATCCAGCAGAGCTGTATTCAAAGCTGAATACTACCTGGATGGCACGGGAAGAAGACGACGAAGACGAAGAAGACGGAGAAGACGTACGGTGCCGCTGGGCACATTGCCGGGCCTGCATGGATGGACTCCGAAGAAAAGCACATGTTCCGAGGATTATTTATTCCATTGCAAAGGTTCTTCTTGCATTGCACATGTATGAGTTCGTCTAGGATAGATAAGGCCTGGTGCCAAAAACGGTCGATATTCCACGAATGTCAAAGGATGCCACGCAAGTTCGTTTCTGCCTTTCATAGTGCCATGATACGCCATGCGTCCCAAAATCGAATCTGATGCCCCTCCAAGATACCATGATATCCACCTCATTAATCATCTGAACCATCAATCGGATCATCGTCGTAATTAGGAAGAGCCCGGATAAAAGCGCTGCCATCTCTGTGTGGTTGAGACCTCTTTGCCTGCGGCTGATGGCCTCTTTTCTTACGTCCTCTGTTAGGTTTCTTTGGCGCGCTTGACTTGTTGCTGCGCAATGTCATTGATATTGGGACTGCTGAGGTAACTCGACTGCCAACGAAATTCTTGGGCTGTGTAAATGTGAAAGCAGCTTCCTCGCTCGCCTCTGATTGAGGGGGTTGAGCGATAATTGAGGCATTGTCTATCGTTAGTTGCGAAGCAGCGCCATCAGTCATGTTGTCAATGGTGGTGCGTGAAAAGTAGCCGGGCTGTGATGAAGCTCCTCTCATTGATGTCTCGTTGTATGGCATACTGTGTCGGTAAGTCTCTGAGTGATCGTGATGTGTCTGATGCTTCCTTTCCGCAACAGCACTCGACAGTTTCAAGTCAGGATCTGAGGAGAACTTTGGAGGAAACGGGGTCCTTTTCGCAGGATGGCCGAAGTGTGGATCGGGAGAGAACCTCGACGAGAAGGCATTACCGTTTGCCGCCCGGAACGTCGATGTGCCACAGGTCGCCACTGTCTCCGCATAGTGACTTAAGCTCGAAGTGGTTGAATTATCGATTGGGATCTCGGAAACACTGCTGGAAGGCCGTATCACTCGCGCTGCCTCTTGCGCCGCCTCTTGAAATGCAGTCTTTTCAGCTTCGTCGATGTCATCGTCAAATATGAAGTTCATCCAGGCAGCCTCCTCTTCTGCTTCCTTTTGCGCCTTGTCAACCACTGGCGGAGGTTCGTTCTCTTCCGGCTGGATGATCTGAGACGCAAACATAGGCTTCTCGAGTTCGTCAAACTGTGCAGTGCCATCGAGGTTCAACCTCCTCTCGCTGGCCAACTGGCCGTCCCGGATCTCGCGGTCCCTGCCCAAGCCTTTAGCATGGGGTGCAAAGTCGCTTAGGTCTTCATCAGATGAACAAGCGCGTATGGTAATGCGTGGCTCTCCATCCGCAGGCTGCTCATCGAGGTTATCTTCTTCAGGATAGGTACAGAGAGACGAACTTGGATCCGTCGCAAGCTGCATGGGAGGTGATGACCGCGTTAAAGAACCGGAAGAATCCGGCGTATGGTGGCTTTGCGGTGCATTTTCGATAGCTACAGGCGCCTGGTCATTTGCCTCACTCGATTCTTGGCAGGATTCTGGCTGTCGGGTGTCAGAGGAAGTACTCATAGGTGGATAATCGAATCTGGGTCCATAGGTAACTTGGTCTCTCGTTTCTGGCTTTGTGCTTTCGGAATCGTTGCTCATTGAGTCGCCGTCATATCTCACCTCATGCCCCTCCCCCGTTTTCATGCTTGAAACTGACGACGTGCTCGTGCGTAGTAACTCGCTGATGCCAGGACTGATTTGCGGATAGGCGCCAGACTTGTCAAGGTGCTGTTCTTCAACATTCTCGGAATGCCCCTCCATCGCTTTGAGCATGTTCTGCCAACGCTGATCCTCTCTCATCTCTGAGGGAGCAACGGCTGGTGCAGGACGCTGCCCAATCTCCCCGGCAGTGCTTTCGATCTCGGATATATGAACACCAGATCTGTCCTTTAGTAATAGTTGACTAACTCTGCGTGGTACTGGCTGATGCACGACGGACGGCGTAGTCTCGACTCGTAGGCTACTGCCCTCTCGTCGAAAGTGTCTCGAAGTAGATGGCTGCGGAAGCCCATCAATAGCCAAATGGCCAAGGTCCTGGTAGTCGCGATTCTTTCGTAGCCCGTGCACGGCTGACTGGCGGTCATGGGCTGAAGAATGTCTCTGCATTGCAGGCTGATCAGCCTGACGTCGCGAGGCTTCCTAAGACCCAGCTGACGATTCATCGCCTGACCGACGTTTGTTTTTCGACGTTGACCTGTTCCCGGAGAGTCTCTTGCAAGGGCTGCTGATAGTGTATTGGCTTGATCCTCTATTCTGAACGTCGCTCCCGATTCTGATGTGTATGCTGGGAGTTCCACGGTGCGTGCTGCCCTGTTTTGAAAGCAGGCGTATTCTCGATGCCGGTGCTGGATGTCCATTCCTGTCCATGAAAGGGCCATGACCTCTCATGTCTTGTTTCTTGTGAAAGTTCCACATCTGGCCAGCCCGATTTTCGTGAAGTGGGAATTCCATGGAAAGTGTTTTTTGCATGTTGAGACCTGCCCAGTCTGAAATTTCCAGGAGCCTGCGCCTCTTGGCCTCAAAGGCGTCGTCAGGATCTGCTATGCGCTGTCTCTTGGCACTCTGGTTCACGGTTGCATGAGACCGGGCGCCGACAAAGCCACCGGCATGGACATTTCCATGCTGCAGTTGCTGCGAGTCCCTCCGGTGACCAGGTCGTTTTTGACTGCTCTGATGGCCCAGCTGAGTTTGAACGTGCGGCGCCGAGGGCGCGTGAAGCGCTTGGGAGCTTTTCTGGGGCAGGGCTGGAGAATTGGGAGGGTGGCGTTGGAAGAACGAGATAGAGTTGATATCGGGCTTTGAGGTCTCGCGTCTGCCAGCCCGGGCCTTTGCGAAGTATTCCTGCTGGCGAGCGACGTCTGGCTTCCACCTTGGGCCTCTCGAATGGCGAGCCAAAGCCCCCTCCGTCCAATTCATTGCTGGAGCCGGTGATGATCTGTTAGTATGTGGCCAGTTGCAGCGACATCGAAGGCGGGATGGGATCATAACAATGTAAGGTAGCAAAGTGGCAGTCACAACACGAAGATGGCAAGTTCAGTGTTTCCGGGCAGTGTCACTCCGTTCCACGCGGAAGGCCCAGTCCATGCACACAAAAGCGCGAGGCAAGTAGGAGGCAGGACCATGATCGTGCTTTCCGATCTGAAAATGTTCCATTGCAGCTTCCTCAATACCAAAACATCATGTGACCTGTTCGCTGCAGTTCCTGCAGGAAGCAGCGACGTCGAAGCGTACGAGAGGCTGCACTTGCCGCTTCAGCTTCCATTCACCCAGCCAACCCCTATTTCCCCCACAGTGTGCATACATAGACCTGCGCACTGGCGACAGTCCACTGTTTTCTCCAAATGCAACACCCTCTCGGAATCACAAGTCAGACGCAGCCCCAGTCCGGTCAGTGCCTAGGAGATCCAGAACACCCTCCTGACGAGCCTTACCTTACCTTATCGCAGTGTCCGCCCACCGCTCTTCCCGGGACAATGGTCCGAAAATAAACAAGAGCCGCCGCCGGCCGAACACGAGTCTGACTCAACCCACCTCAGTTGACGATGTCGACTGCGCCCTGCTGTGGGCTCGCAGCCGGACCCGAGCCTGGACAATGAGTCTGACCTCTGAGCTCCAAGCCGCCTGAGCCAACAACGCTTGCGCATGCCGTCGGGTCGGGCTTGTCTTGTGCGCAGTGCCTTCGGTCTCTCCATGTGGCGCTTGCCGCGCCGAGATGCATTCCCCTGAAAGAAGACTCCCAGCTAGTTCCACCGACACGAGACCCCGAATTTGTGACAACTTTGTCTCTACGTTCAATCGAATCCTGTCCGACGCTTGCCGTACCGTACACCGCGGCCGACGTCACGGAAGCGGTCTCGATGCCCCCGGCCGAGGCCCTCCGAATTGCCTCCATCAGCCGTTCTGGGTCCTGCACGAGGTCACACCCGTCGCCATGATGTTATCGCCGCTCTTCTGGATCGTCGAGGACCCAATCGACTATCCCAAAGACGTCATTGTGATCTCGTGAGAGACTCGATCGGGTCCCTGGCATGCCCTCGCCCAGGTGCCCCGGCAGTGTTCAGCCAAGTCCCGATCGTGGCGGGTGGGCGCCGACCAATCAGACAATAACTGTGTGTCAACGCCGACCACTCAGCGATGAGACCGGCGAATCCTCGTTGTTCAGGAGAGTTCGGAC